GTGAACTCCTTTAACTTGACCTTATCTGGGAAGCACTTTGTCTGCCCTTCCATTCTAAATGATAGCTTTGTTGGATAGAATAATTTGAATGTAGATCCTTGTCCTTTATGACTTTGGATACTTCTTTCCAGCCCCTTCTTGCCTGCAAGGTTTCTTTTGAGAAATCAGCTGATAGTCTTGTGGGAACTCTTTTGTAGGTAACTGTGTCCCTTTCTTGTACCTTTTTATTCTTTTGCATTGATCTATTATACTCTATATTCTATTTCATTGATCTATATGCCTGTCTCTCCCAGTTCTACAGAGTCTTGATTACTTGATTACTGCCTTATAGTAAGTCTTAAGTAGCATGGTGTGAGTTCTCCAATTTTTTATTTTTTGAGTTTGTTGTGGCTAGTCTAGTTCCTTTTCCTTTACATATTAATTTTAGAATCAGCTTGTATATGCCTATGAAAATCTTACTAGGATTTTGGTTACTATTGGGTTAAATCTTAGATTAGTTGAGTATTGCCATCCTACGTACACCAAATCTTGTAATACGTGGACATGCTATGCCTCTTCATTTATTTAGGTCTTTTTTTAAAAAGATTTTATTTACTTATTTTTTGAGAAAGGGGAAGGGAGGGAGAAAGAGAGGGAGGGAAACATCGGTGTGTGAGAGACACATTGATCAGGTGCCTCTCACAACCCCAAATGGGGATCTGGCCCACGACCCAGGCATATGCTCTGATAGGGAGCAGAACTGGCAACATTTTGGTTTGCAGGACAGTGCCCAACCCAATGAGCCACACCGGTCATGGCCATTTGTTTAGGTCTTTCTATATTTCTTTTAAAAAGTATTTTGCTATTTCTGGCATTAGTATCATGCACATACTTTATTCCCAGGTATTTAAATTAAAATTTTTTTCAATTACAGTTTATATTCAATATTATATTAGTTTCAGGTATACAGCATAATGGTTAGACATTTATATAACTTACGAAGTGATCCCCCAATAAGTCTTGCACCCTCCTGACACCACATATTAATTACAATATTATTGACTATTTTCCCTAAGCTGTACCTTACGTCATCATGACTATTTTGTAACCACCAATTTGTATTTCTTCATCCCTTCATCTTTTTCACCCAGTCCCCCCACCCCCGCATCTGGTAACCAACAGTTTGTTCTCTGTATCTATGAGTTTGTTTCTATCTTGCTTGTTTGTTTATTTTGTTTTTTAGACTCCACATAGAAGTGAAATCGTATGATATTTGTCTATCTCTGTCTGACTTACTTCACTAGCATAATAACCTTTAATCCATCCATGTTGCAAATGGTAAGATTTAATTATTTTTTTATGACGATGTAATATTCTATTGTATGTATGTACCGCATCTTCTTTATCTATTTGTCTTATGATTGAAGCATTTAATCCATTTACATTTAAAGTAATTATTGATAATTATGTAGTGGTTGCCATTTTATTCATTGTTTTCTGATTGTTTTTGTCATTTTTTTCTATTTCTTTCTTATGCTCTTGTTCTCTTTTCTTGTATGTTGATGACTTTTTGTATCTTGTACCTGGATTTTTTCCTCTTTATTCCTTGTACATCTCCTGTAGATTTTTTTATTTGTGTTTACCATGTGCTTCATATATACCAAGCTATGTTTATAGCAGTTTATATTAAGTTGATGGTTGCTGAAGTTCTAACACATCCTAAAATCACTATCACTTTTACTTTTGCCTTCCCATACCTGGAAATTAGACTTAATTTTTGTATATATGTGAAGTGAGGATTGATGTTCATTTTTTGCATATGATTATCCAATTGTTTCAGCACCATTTGTTGAAAATATTATCCACTCCCAATTGAATTGTCTTGGCACTTTGTTGGAAATCAATTGACCATAGATATTCTGTACTCTATCCTTTTCCATTGGTGCATTGTCTTAGTAACTGTCAGTTTATCATACAACTTGAAACCAGGTAGTTCAAGTCCTCTGAATTTATTCTTTTTTAAAGTTGTTTTGGCTATTTTAAATCCTTTGCATTTCAATATAAATTTTAGAATCAGGTTGTACATTTTTAAAGGAAGAAAAAATCTTGCTGTCATTTTGATTGATATTGCATTAAATCTATAGATCAAGTTGGGAGGAAGGACATCTTAATTATTTTCAGTCTTCCTGTTCATGAACATGATAATCTCTCCATTTATTTAAGTCGTTGTTTTTCAACCTTTTTAAGTGGGGGTGGGGGAGGAGATTTCCTCTAATGTCTTTTTTAGACATTATTTTCATAATCAACCAGATTAATAAAATGGATTTATTTATATATTTTTGGTACTGTATGTTTTTCTGTGTTTTATATATAAAAGAGGAAGATTTTTCACATACCGCTTCCTCTAAGAACCAACTTTCTCTCCTTTGGGGTTTGATAATGTTACAATTTAAGTCTTCTTGAATTTTCTGAATCATATTTTTATAAGTTTTTGGTGTACTGGTCTTAAACATCTTTTGTTAGATTTATCACTCACAATTTCATACATTTTGAAACTATAGTAAGTTTTTAAAATTTCTATTTTTGGCTGCTTGTTGCTAATACATAAAAATATAATTGATTTTCGTATATTGATTTTGTATCCTGCAATCCTGATAAGCTCACCCATTATTGTTAGTTTTAGTAGTTCTAAAGTTTTTATAATTCTAGTTTTTTTGTAGATTCCATGGGATTTTCAACACATGAGAGGGAATCCCCCAAAAACTGAAATTATCTTCTGGAGGGGAAGGCCCCTTGTACAGGCTTCCCCTGCTAGGTGAATGTTCTAGGAACTCATCTGTATCCATGTACAAGTTGGCATTGTGAGAAGCTGTGTTTGGCTTCAGTGAATTTTTTTTTTTTTTAAGACTCAGTGCGTTTGCTCATTTCATGATAGGTGACTTACAAGCGCACCTGCCCACACCACCCTGAGTGTTCAGCAGTTCTTCACCAAAACTGTCATGACTCCCATGCCCTACCTTCCCTATTTACCCCGTTTTGCCCTGAGTGACTTTTTTTTGTATCCCCAGATGAAAAAAAGTCCTCAAAGGAAAAAGCTTTGCCAATGTGGAAGAGGTGAAACAAAAAAATGGCAGAAGCACTAAAAGGCATCAAAATTGACATGTTCAAAAACTGTTTTGAGCAATGGAAAAAAGTCTTGATAGGTGTATTGCACCAAATGGAGACTACTTTGAAAGTGACTGAAGTTTAAACATGTAAGAATAAATGCACAATTTTTAATAAATAAATTCAGTTTTTTTGAGGGTCCCTCCTCATACATGATTTTCTACTGATAAGACAGTTTTAGATTTTTCTTTTCAGTCTAGATGCCTTCTATTTCTCTTCATTGCTTTGCTGCACGTTCCAGTTATACATTGAACACTAGTGGTGAGAATGGAGTCTTGCCTTGCTACTGATCTTAGGAAGAAAACATGAATTCTTTATCAAGTTTATGAAGTTTCTTTGTATTAGTATTTTCAATAATGAATATTAAATATTGTCAAAAGTTTTCCACATCCACTGAAATTATCACTTGGATTTTATAGGGGATTTTTGTTTGTTTTTAGTCTGTAAATGTAATAAATCACACTGATTGATTTTCAAATGTCAAAGTAACCTTGTATTCCTGGGATAAATCCCATTTGATCATGATGTGTTATAATTTTTATATACTGTTAAATTTTACAACATTGCTAAGGATGTTTGCATTTTACTCATGAGGAACATTGTTCTGTATTTTTCTTGTAATGTCTTTGTAAGTTTTCATATCAGGATAATGCTGGCCTTGTAGAATAAATTGGGAAATACTCTTTCCTTTTCAGTTTTCTGGAAGAGTTTGTATAAGTTTGGTAATGTTTCTTCCCTAATTAAATTTTTTCTCTTTTAAAATCATGTTTCTCAATGTGTAAGTTTAAATCACTGATGTGAGACCTTTCTTCCTTTCTATAATAAAAGCAATCAATACTACTAAATTTCTCTCAAAATGCTGCTTCAGCTGCATCCTAAAATTGTGATCTGTTGTCTTTCTATTTTCATTCACTTAAAATACATTTTAATTTCCAATGTAATTTCTTCTTTGATTCAAAGCTTACTTACAAATGTGCTATTTAGTTTTCAAGTATTTGGGAGGATTTTCCAGTTATATGTATATCTACAGTTATTTATATGTTGCTGTTTTCTAATTTATTTTTATTGTTGTCAGAGAACTTACTTTGTGAGAATTGAATCCTCTTAAATTTATTAGAAGTTGTTTTATGGCTCAGAATATGATTATTTTTATGATTATTCCATTAGCACTTGAAAAAAAATATTTTCTGCTGGGTGTTGGCCAGAGAGTGCTATAAATGTTGATCCAGTTGGCTGATAATGTTGTTAAAATTTTCTATATCCTTACTGATATCCATCTATTATTTTATCAGTTTTTAAGAAATGGTGTTGAAGTTTTTGGCTACAGTTGTTGACAAGTCTGTTTCTACTTGGAGTTTTTGTGGCATGTATTTTGAATCTCTGTTGTTAGAGATATAATCATTTAGAAGAGCTACATCTCTTAATGAATTGATCATATTATAATTTTAAATTATTTTTTGCCCTAAAACCTTATTTATTTTATGTAGTATTTATATAGCCAGTATGGCTTTACTTTGATTAGTGTTTCCTAGACACACACACACTCACACATGCACGCACACACAGGTGAGGGCAAAAGTAGGTTTATAGTCGTGAGTGCACAAAACAGTTTATTCTTGTATTTATTTATTAATTATTATGTTATTTGTATTATTTATCTTTTTTTCTTATTGTCATTATGAATTTTTTTTATTTATTTACTTTTAGAGGAAGGAGAAGGGAGAAGGAGAGGAAGAGAAACATCAATGTGTAGGAGATACATCCATCAACTGCCTCTCACATACCCCCAACTGGGGACCTGGCCTGCAACCCAGGCATGTACCCTGACCGGGAATCAAACTGGCGGCCTTTCAGTTCACCGGCTGGCACTCAATCCACTGAGCCACACCAGCCAGGGCTGATTTATTTTTTAGGTAATGACTTAACCTACTTTTGTCCACCACTGTATATATACGTGTGTATACACATATATCTGGAAAAAACCTCGCCATTGTTAATATAATGAGAAATGTTTGCGCAACATCAATGTAACCTGACAGCCGAGGAGAGTGGACTGGAATGCGCATGCGTGAACAATGATGACTTCACTGTACTAGGCAGTGGGGGAGGTACATGGTAGATGCCATTGAGTGAGCACATGTACTGTGTGGCCATCACATTAAAAATAACTGAGTGAGGAGATCTATGAATCTGCATCACATTTTGCGTTAGGCTTGAACATTCCTCCTTGGAAACTATTTAGATGGTTCAGAAGGCCACAGCTATGGGCAACTGGTGACTGGCAGCTTGATCACAACAACACTCCTGCTCATGCATTGTGTCTTGTGCAGTCTTTTGGCAAAACATCAAATCACCCAGGTGACTCAGCCCCCCTACAGCCCAGAATTGGAGCTCTGTGACTTCTGTCTTTTCCCAAAACTAAAATCACCTTTGAAAAGGAAGAGATTTCACACTGTCAATGAAGTTCAGGAAATTACGAAGGGGCAGCTAATGGAAATTGGGAGAACTGCGTGAGGTCCCAAGGTGCCTACTTTGTAGGGGACTGAGGTGTCATTGTCCTATGTACAATGTTTTTTGTATTTTTGTATCTTCTTTGACAAATATCTCTAGTTTTCACATTACATGGCTGAATACCTTCTGGACAGTGCTCATATATATAAATAAATAATTTAAATATATACATATATAAAATTTACATATATAGAGTACAGAAAAAATCCAGTGCTTCCCTCCTGTTTCTCCTTTATTTTTACACTACTATGACACTCAGAACACTTCTGACACCAGATGTGTGCTTTTTCCTCTCCCATCAAGCAATTTCCTGCCACACTGGCTGGGTGTCCTGCAATTTAACTCAGTTCTGACACTATCTACCCAGAATAGTATCAGATCCTACAGGTTAAGGACTCAGTACTAAGGACGGCCCCATTCCCCTCTCAGATGCCAGTCGTAAGCTCAGGTGGCCACCTGTGCTTCTGACCAATCAGCTATAATTCTGAGGTTTCATGATCCCCTCTTTGTGTTTGATTAATTTGCTACAGCGGCTATAGAATTCAGGGGAACACTTACTGTTTACCAGTTTATTTTAAAAGGATACAGTAAATGATACAAGTGAACATCCAGATGGAAGAGATGTGTAGAGCAAGGTGTGTGGGAAGGAGTGTGGAGCTTCCATTCTCTCCCCAGAAATGCCACTCTCCCAGCACCGCCATGTGTTCACCAACCCAGGAGCCCTCTGAACCTCATATTGAAATTTTTATGGAGGCTTCATCATGTAGGCACAGCCTATCATTAGCTCCATTTCCAACTCCTCTCCTCTCTCGGAGAATGGGGCCTGGGGCTGAAAATTTCGAGCTTCTGATTATGGCCTGGTCTTTCTGGCGACCAGCCCCATGCGGAGCCTGACAAAGAGTCACCTCATTACAACCAAAGACACTGATATCACCAAGGAAATTCCTAGGGACTTGGAAACTCTTTGTCAGCAGGTCAAAGCCAGGGTCAAAGATCAAATATTAAAACACAAAATGCTCCTAGTGCTCTTATCACTTAGAAAATTGTAAGAGTTTTAGGAGCTCTGTGCCAGGGACTGGAGGCAGATGCCTAGCTAGATAAAGATATGTTTTTCTGTTATCACATATATGATATTCTTTTACTGTTTTGATTTATGTAGGCAGCATAGTTGGGTCTTTGATCCAATATGAAAATCTCTGCATTTTAATTTCAATTGAGCATTTAGACCAGCAATTGAAGAGTGTCTTCTGTAAACGACAAGGTAGAATAAATATTTTAGGCTTTGTGGGCCACCTATGGTCTTTGCTACACATTTTCCTCTTTCTCTTCTTTTTAAATAACTTAGAAATGTACAAACCATTCTTAGCTTGAGAGCTATGTAAAGACATGCTATGGTAAGGGTTAGACCTACAGGCCATAGTTGGCCCCTGCCCCAATAAACCATTTACACGTTATATAATTATTGATATGGACATGGTGGGATTTAAATTTGCCATCCTGATCTTTGTTTCTATTTGACCCATCTGTTCTTTTTCCTCTTTCCTCTAAATACATTAATTAAATACTTTTTATGATCCTATTTTGTTCATTAGTTTATTAGGTATAACTCAGTATTTTATCATTTAGTGATTATTTTATGGCTTACAGTATACATCTTTATCTTATCAGTCTACCTACAAGTAACATTATACCATTTAAAATACTGTATAAAAACTTCCACATTGTACTTCTATTTCCCCCTTTCAGGACTTTGTGTTTTGTTGTCATACATTTTGCTTCTACATGTTATGAACTCCAAAATATATTGTCATTAGTTTTGTTTTAATTGGTCAATTATCTTTGGAAAATATTTTAAAAATAAGAAAAAGTCTTTTATGTTTATCCACGTATCATATCTGGTGCTCTTCATTTCTCTATGTCCATCTATGTTTCTACCTGGTATCATTTTTCTTTTGTCTGAAGGACTTCCTTTAACATTTTTGAGATGAAGAATATGCTGGCGATTAATTCTGTCATATGTCCAAAGGAATCTTTATGTTCTGGTTCTGGATAAAATGGAATAAGAGCTCTCCACCCTGTCTCTCTTGTTGAACGCAGTTCTAAAACCTGTACTCAACACATGGAGCAGCTGTCTGAGGACCCTGAAAAGTCAATAATAGCAGGAACATTGGAAAAGAAGACAAGAATTTGGAGTACCACTGACCCGGTGCTGAGTGTACTAATTTTTTCTCCAGTATTTTTCCAGTTTGAGCATAATACAGCATGAAACAAAGAGGCAACAGTGGCATGAATAGTGAGAAGACCAGGAGAGAAACTTTCTAGTTCTGGCCCAAGGAGCAGAGAAGGGACCTCCTAACACTCAGACAGAGAAGAGAAAGTCTTCTCTTTTCTGGGAGAAGTTGTCTGGGAGACTTCATGGAAAGTCTCCCATGCCACAGTCCCCAGCAGTTCTGTGGGAGTGGTGTGAGATACCCTAATGAAGCCCACAGAGCAACTTCCTCAACAATCACAAACTACCAAAGTGATTAAACAGATAACCTAAATAGTTCCATACCTATTGAAGAAACTGAATTCATAGAATTTTCCTGTGAACCCATCTGGGTGTGGTGCTTTCTGTTTTGGAAGGTTATCAGCTATTGATTCAATTTTTAAAATAGATATAGGCTTATTCAGATTGTCTGCTTATTCTTGTGTGAATTTTGGCAGACTGTGTCTTTCATGAGATTGATCCTTTTTTTCTAGGTTATCAGATTGTTGTGAGCATGGTGTTATTCATAATATTGCCTTATTATCTTTTTTTATGTGCATAGGATCTATAGAGCTGTCTCCTATTGCATTTCTGATGCTAGCAATTTCAGTCCCCTCTCTCTTTTCTTAGTTAGCCTAGCTACAGCCTTATCCATTTTATCGATCCTTTCAAAAAACCAGCTTTGGTTTCATTAAATGTCTCTGTTAATTTTCTGTTTTCAATTTAATAGATTTCTGCTCTAATTTATATTATTTATTTCCTTCTGCTTACTTTGGATTTAATTTGCTCTTCTTTTTTCTAGTTTCCTAAGATGGAAGCATAGTTGATTGATTTTAGATCTTTTATCTTTTTAAATGTATTCAATGCTATAAATTTCCCTCTAAGCACTGCTTTCGCTGCATCCCACAAATTTTGATAAGCTATGTTTTTGTTTCATTTTGTTCAAAATATTTTAAAATTTCTCTTGAGATTTCTTCTTTGACCCATGTGTTATTTAAAAGTATGTGGTTTAATGTCCAGGTGTTCTGGGATTTTCCAGCCATATATGAATACATAATCTAATACATTGTTGCTATTATTATTTTAAACAAACTATTATCTTTTATAGCAATTAAGAATAACAGAAATAAAAGTTTTAATTTACCTTCACTTATTTCTTTAACATTTTTCTTTTCTTTACATATATCTAGTTTTCTGAACTTATATCATTTTCTTTCTCTCTAAGGAATTTCTTTTAAAAAAAAAGTTTTATTGTATATTGGTTTCAGGTGTACAGCTTAGTAGTTACATAATCATATACTTTACATAGTGTTCCTGATAGTTCCAGTACCCTAACTGGCACCATACATAATTACTACAACATTATTGGCTATATTTCCTATACTTTACTTACTTTCCCATGACTATTTTGTAACTACCAATTTGTGCTTCTTAGTCTCCTCACCTCTTTGACCCAGTGGCTGAAACCTCCCTCCCCTCTGGCAGCCACCAGTTCTCTCACTGTGTCTATGACTGTTTCAATTTTATGTGTTTGTTTATTATGTTCTTTAGATTCCACATACAAGTGAAACCATATGGTATTTGTCTTTCTCTGACTGACCTATTTCACTGAGCATAATACCCTCAAGGTCTATCCATGCTGTTACAAGTGATAGGATTTTAATTATTTTTTATGGCCAAGCAATATTCCATTGTATATATGTATCACAGCTTTATATCTACGCATCAATTAATGGGCATTTGGGTTGCTTCCATAGCCTGCCTATTGTAAATAATGCTGTGATGAATTTAAGTGTGCATGTATTTTTTCAAATTAGTGCTTTGCATTTCTTTGGCTAAATCCCCAAAATGGAAACACTAGGTCATGAGAAGGTCAATTTTTAATTTTTTGATGAATCTAAGGAAATTTTTTTAACATTTCTTGCAGACTTGGTCTCCCAGAAACAAATTTCCTTAATTTTTGTTTGTCCAAGAAACTATTTTTCCTTCATTTTTTAAGGATAACGTCATAAGGTACAGAATTCTAGGTTGGTGTTCTTTTCTCTCAACACCTTATTTCCCTTCACTCTCTTTTTACTTGCATAGACTTTGAGGTGCCGGGTGTAATTCTCATCTTTGATCTTCTATAGGTAAGTTGTATTTTTTACCCCAGCT